CAACATTTGTCGTCGCATTCCGCCCAACAACTAATTTCACCACCATCGATTTCTTTTTCTTCGCCACCTTTGCACTATGCTGGGCCACCACTTTCATTATTCGTGACAACCCCAAACTTATAGTGAGCTTGTCTTTAACTCGATAGACTCCGTTTAGAGTTGGCATAGAGTTGGCATATCATCGATCGATAACAGCTCCCAACCAAAGGCCCAGTGATGATGCTATTCATATTTGAGAAAGTTTTATATACTTCTTTAGCAAAGCTACTAGAACTTGAGTGGGTCCTCTCAAATATCCAACATGAACGCAGAAACAAAACTGCTTTCAAGTCTCATAGAAAATGACCTGTGCAAAATTATTGAAACCCCTTGGGTATAAATCTATCGTTTCCACGTCTTAAGAGCATAGGTGGTATAGTGTCAAAAGACGCAGTATTCCACTTACATGATCCAGAGATTAAGCTCCGGATATCACTATTCGCCCAGCATAAGTAAGGTACTCCTACCTTTAAAATTTCGATTACGATTTTGAATGAAAGTTAAATGCAGGGCGCATCCCGAAAACGGGGTCGATTAATGCCACAGACCTTACCCTTCATTCTTCAACACAACTTTTCGCGGCTAAATATAATAGAAAGACCAATGGATGAACCGGCTGAATCGGGCTTCCCAACCCTCTATCCTCTGGGTTTGGTTCATTGGTATCAGCAGGATGTCAAAGGGTTAGACTTGTGCATTTGTCGCCTCTGAAGTCATTCCGTAGTTCAGCTACGTATTNGAACGCCTGGGACATACCAAAACGGGAAACGCTGACGCCAGAAAACCTTCTGCTCAGCCTCTTTTTTTCTGGAATCATCACCTGGAAACTTTATTTCTTATGTCTTTTAGTTCAACTGTTCACCACACCCATTCCTCCAAGAGCATCAGAAGGCTTGTGGACAACCATGATGACTTGGATTCGCGTGCTCCAGCAAGCTGCCAGTGTGGTGTGTTGCTTCGGACTGAATTATTCAGAATTACGATCTGGCGCCATTTGTTCGCGCATAAATACTGGCGTGAACGAAACGATTTCTGGCGCTCGTCTGCACTCATCACCCCTGCGTCAGAAATTCGAGAATCACTGGATTCTGTTCTGTTGCCTAGACATTCACGGGCGGGGTTTCTTGTTTATTATATAGAGAAGGAAGGAGAAGAGGTGGTTGATGGTCGAACTTCATGGCAGTCGAAGGATGATAGGTGTAGTTAGGATTGGCTGGAGGTAGAAGCTCAACTGGTGCACGTCATGGAGTTTCTGCTCAATTTGCCTCTGAAAGCATTGTTCAGGGCTCGGGCGTAACAGAGCTTCCCCTTTTTCTTCGAAGTCCTCGTTATGTCCGCAGCGGCTACAGTTTTCCGCAAACACTGAACGTGTACTCTGTCACGATGGAGCGTCATCCGTCACTGTTCTAAGGATCTGGTCCGGAATCTACGATTTACGTGTCGATCTAACTCAGACCAGCTAGCTTTTCAGAATTTATCTGGTCGAACAACGGTGAGATGACCACCTCCTCTCTTTTTTTTTTCAAAAACGTGGAGGCTGACATCTCTCAGGATTACTTTCAATTATACGACTTGTAAGCAAATTTCTCACTTACCAGCAATTCATTGAAGATCTTCTAGCCTCCGTTACAACCTAGGCATCAATTTCTCAAGCGCGTCTACTCTCTTTGCCAGCCAAGTTCGTTAGCGAAAGTTCTAGACTTCTTTCTTAAAAGCCTAGGCCTACTTTTTCAGCTTCTGTATAGATTGAAAGTTCGATTTCCTAAGCCGGGCTATTGTGAGAATCCCATATAGCAATTACGTTGGGCAGGGGGTTGACATAGATCAACTCGCTATGCACTCTTCCGCGAAGTGTAGCAGGACCTCCCATTGCTTTCCTCCCACATCATCTCCGTAGTTCACCTTTCATGAGTATTGAGCGGATCCGTATACTGTCAAATAAACCCAAGATTTCTAAGAATGCAAGAGTTGACCACACAAATAGAGGGTAAGGAAAGCTCCCAAGCTAATATACAGTCTAAATGACTGCTTTAACAGTGTGAAGTCGATGACCCCAGGTTCAGGTGATACCTGGGAAGCAAGAACTCTTGTCTAACTTTATTACTTACACATTGCCATCACATTGAGAATGAATTGACTCTGAACGCCAAGAAGTTGTCGAAAATGCAAGCGTTTGACGGTCCAGCATTAATATTCAATGTGGCACGGTGACAGATGCCTTGCAACGGACAGCGTAATTCGCTGACTCCGCCCCCACGTAAACCGCGCCCACGGTGACGATTGGACGACGGTGGCCCACGGATCTTCTACTGTAGTTTATTATGACCATGAACTCGACTGATTTCGAGTATACTGATACAAAACCTCCACTTTCCGCTATGGGACATGTGGTAGAGTCCATAGGTGTCGACACCGAAAACCAGGTGAGTCCTCTGGATCGACTTCTTCAGGTTTTTATAGTTTCTGATCATTTTGGGGATGTTCAGGGTAAATGTCGGGTATGTTCTGGTAGAATCTCCGACCGATACCTGGTCAGAGTGAGTAAAATGGTTGTGATCGTGATATTGCTTGAGCTTCTGGGCCCATCTTCTGGCTTTTGTGTTGCCTCCCTCTTCCCTAACCCTGAAATTTGATTTCAGATAGATTCGAGAGTATTCCATGAAAATTGCGTCCGATGTTGCGTT